GTAAAACTTCTATTTTTAAACTTTCAGCAATAAAATTTCAATCGATCTAAACTAAATGAGTTTTCCTTATTCAGCAAGTACGATTATGAGAAATCCCTCGCTATTGAAAATGGAAATGAACAATATAATTCATTGAGTTTTAATCATTAGAGATTTGAAGATGCATATTAGGATAAAGTAATTACCCGCTCAAGCTAGAAAGCTATTCAAAATTTTATGCAATTCAAAGATGAGTCATCTTTGAATGAAGATTGCAATTAAAACAATATGAATTAGTCTAAAGGAGGTTCTAATCTTGCTAAAGGTAGCCAGAATTAAGGGTAGAAGAAGACAAATTAAGCACAACAATTGTAGTAAGTACATAGAGTTTAAAGTCTTCCTTACTTGAGTCCTGAACAAGACTCAATGATGTTCAATGCAACCGCTCCTCAAAATCAATACTCGATTGCATCTCCAACAAGGATAGAGTAATAAAACTGTAATTATTCTTCAACATAGTAACAATGAAATGATTAAGCATTTATAGGACATTCTATAATAAAGTAATAATTCAGTGATGACTTCGTTGATAATAATTTCAATCAATCATCAGGTTATCAAATAAACTCAGTACCTAATAATTTTTAAAATAACAATCCACAAGTAAGTTAAAGATAAAAACCCTAGAACCATAATAACATTTAAGCAATGTCAAGCATAGCATCTTGCTAATCACCTCAATAAGAAAGTTAAAGAGGAAAGTTTTAGTAAGATTGGAAATGCTTTGATTGCTAAAATAATAATAAATCTAATGTGAGTCCTTCTTAGATTGAAGAATGTGTTAAGTAAAATAAAGATACTTAGGAAATCGTAAGAAAGTAGATTGACCAGCAATCGTTAGTTCTCTCATTCATACTTGATGTTTTAAACCCATTCTTATAAGAGAGTAGAGAGAACTGTGAAAAGTATAATTTAGCTTATTCAAATGCAAAGGACTTAGACTAATAAGTAGATATGATTGAGAAAAACTCTATCTTAATATTCTAATAAAACTAGTATATTGAGAGTCACATATCTCCAAAGTTAACCTAGATTAAAGATTTGAGAAGATAAAAAAATATGGTTTAATTAAAGAAGTAAGAGATTATTTTGCTTGAACAGTTTCAATCTAAAGAAAGAGTTTAAGAATACATCGATTAATATCATGATAAGATTATATGTCAGAATATTAACGATATGCTTAATGAATTAAACTATTCTGACACTGTCTGTGGTACAATTTATGAGAATGAGATGGGGAAGCTTGTAATTAAGATATAAAATCTAACTGAGCAATAAAATCAGATTGATATTGAATTGAGTTTGATATGATAAGTGTTTATTGAAAAGAAGAATTCTAATAGCATTTCTTATTATTTTAAGAATCAACTGGTAAATATTGATTGATAGTTGATTATTATATATTTTGTAAGTTTTGATATTTTCATTTGATTTTTTACTAGGGGTTTTGGGGTTTTGGGGTTTTGGGG